AGATATCCACCAGGAGGTTTTGGGATTTCTAGGGTTTGGAAACTGGCCTCAGGGCCATGTAGAGAGAGGAAGGTTGAGGCTGCAGCTTTCGGGGTCTCTGCTCTCCAGTGTGGGACCCTCGACACCCCATGTTTTCTTGTCAGGTGAGAGAGACCAGCCGCAGCAAGGACTTCATCAGCCTCGGACTACAGGATGGCCATCTTGTCTTCAGGTGAGTCCTAGCACCTCTGCCGCCCTCCTCCCATCCCTGACTTCTGCCATGGGAAGCTGGTGCTCCAGCCACACACCCCTGGTACCATCTGCACCTTTGGACCTCCTGTGCCCACCCCAGAACTCACACCTTAGTGGAACTCTGTTGTCTACTACAGCTACCAGCTGGGCAGCGGGGAGGCCCGGCTTGTCTCCGAAGACCCCATCAATGATGGCGAGTGGCATCGGGTGACAGCGCTGCGGTAAGAGGTCCAGCCGGGCATTAGGGGAAGGGCCCAGAGGTGGGCATGGATCAGGAGCACATAGCCCCTCACCCTGGGGTCGGGGCGAGGAGGAGGAGGCTTCGAGATCTGAGAGACGGAATGAGAAAGTGACACGGGAAGGACCCCTTGCCTGCAAGCAGAGCGCCTGGCCGTACAGGATGGAGGGTGGTGGTACACACCTGGGACCCCAGAACTTGGGAGGTGGAGGCAAGAAGGTCCTGAGCTTGAGCCCAACCTTGGCTTCTTGAAGAGGGGAAACCTGAGGACGGGCCTCAGAAGGTGGCTGTAGGAGAGTAGGAACTGAGAGAAAGCAGGGAGCAGATTTGCCTATCGGAAGTCTCGATGACAAGGGGAGGACATTTGTGGAGGATGGGAATTCAGGGCAAGGGACCTGCCCCTGTCATACCGCAGAGAGGGCCGGAGAGGCTCCATCCAAGTAGACGGCGAGGAGCTGCTCAGCGGCCGGTCCCCAGGTCCTAATGTGGCCGTCAACACCAAGGATATGGTATACATTGGTGAGTTCCCGGCGTTCCCAGCAGGGTGTCAGGCGGACAGTGGGGGGAATGGCGGCCTTCAGGGCTGCAGCCTGGCTTCCTTGCCCCTCTGGTTCCGCCACTGTCACACTCGTCTTCCACAGGTGGTGCCCCAGATGTAGCCACACTGACGAGGGGCAAGTTCTCTTCTGGGATCACAGGCTGCATCAAGAACTTGGTGCTGCACTCGGCCCGGCCTGGAGGCCCACCCCCACAGCCCCTGGACCTGCAGCATCGTGCCCAGGCAGGCGCCAACACACGTGCCTGCCCCTCATAGGCACCCGCCTGCCTCCCATGGACTCCTGGGCAGCCCCCAGCCTGACAATGTCAAGTATATTATTATTAATATTATTATGACTTTTTTGTAAGAGACTGAGGCAATGCCACGCTTTGCTGCTACCACCCTGGGCTGGACTGGAGGGTGGGTGCGCCAGCTCCCACACATGCGTGGGCAGAGCCCCAAGGCTGGTGGGCAGGACAAGGGGACCGAGAGGGGTTTCCTCCTTCAAAGGCTACTGGGACTTGGGAATCAGGCGTCATGACTGGTAGGGCTCAGAATTGTTCCCACTCCTCTCCTCGGTTCACAGTTGAGCTGGGCTGCCCATTTCAGCAGTCCGTGGACAGTCCTCATTGCTGTGGGTGCCAACCTCACTTTACCACCTGGTACCTCACGGCCAAACCCAACGAGGGGTGTCGCAGTGGTCTGAGCCACTGTGCTGGGAGCCAAAGGCAGCTCAGTCCCCCACCAGCCGCATACATCCCAGCCTCCTCCACACCCACCTAGCCAGAGGCCTCATGTCCCTGGCAACCTCCCCTCCCACCCAGCCCTCCTCACCTGCATCCCCCCCTCCCCATCAACACACATACACAGCCCAGGGCCCTGCCCTTAGGAGCTGCAAGGGAGACCAACTCTTCCCCAGATCTGCTAGGCAGAGCCCAGGGACGCGGTTCCACCGCACCAGGCCACACCCCCCACTCTTCTGGAGGTGAAGGCCCAGGGCGTGGGGGAACAGGAATCAGGAAGACCAGTGCCTTGGTGGGGGCTACTGAGACCTCAGTTTGGGAAGGAGAGGACCCTGCCTGTCTGGGAGCCTGAGGACCCAGCTGAGGGGTAGGCAGGCCAGACTGTGGCTGGTCCTAGAGGGAACCCCCTGTGGTCTTTATCTGATTTTTTTTTTCTTAATAAACGGTGCTATCCCCGCCAGAGGTCTCCTGTCTCTTTGACAAAGGGTTCACTCAGGGCTGGGCAGGCTGAAGGGCTGGACAAGGTAGTGTTTTTGAGATCTGAAAGTGAAGTAAGACACAACTGAGTGTTCTGACCAGGGAAGGCCCCAGCTCCTACCCTAGGTGCCCTTCCCCACCCAGCACAGTGCCCACCCCTACCCACAGGACCTAGTCTCACGGTCAGGAGTACCGTGCCTCAGAAGCAGATGGGCAGATTGCCTTTCCACAAATCAGATTTTATTGAATGACAATAAATCCATCAGCTGTGTCAATATCTCTGGCTACAGCTTCGCCCACAGACGTGGCTCTCGGCAATCTGGGATCCCTTCCTTCCAATCCTCTTGACTGATTTCACTACTCAGATACCTCAGGACTCTTCCCACAGCGTTGCCTGTGTGTCTACGTGGATATGCATGCGTGTCGTGTTTTAGAATGATTACAGAAGGTCTGAAGAGGCCCGGTGATGGCAACGGCAGAGATGCAGAGAGGCCCTGCTGTCGTTAGAGCCTAACCACTCAGTTAGCATTCCCAGCCACAGCAGTTAGCAGCTCAGAAGGGACAAGCAGAGGATCCTGCTGCACTGAAGCCTCCATATCAGGACACTGTCCCCAGTGCTCACCCTTCCATCCAGGGACGCCACTGGCTGCTGTTGGCCACTGTAGCACTCCCTGAGATGCTGTTCCTTGCATATGACCCAGGTTAGAGGTTGCTTCACTCGCTGGTCTGTTGTGTTCGCAGGCCTGGCTTTTCCTTCTATCGTTTTGTTTCTTGTTTTTGTATCTTTACATTTTACTCATTTTACGTGTTTGGGAGTTTTGTCTGCACCTGTCAGTGCAACTCGAGTGCACCTAACATCTGAGGAAGCCAGAAAAGGGTGTTGGATCACCCAGAACTGGAGTGACAGAAGGTTATAAGCCACCATGTAGATCGCCATGTAGATGCTGGAAAGCAAACCTGGGTCCTCTGGAAGGGCAGAGAGCGCTTGGTTTATTTATTTATTTAGGCTTTTCAAGACAGGGTTTTTCTGTGTAGCCTTGGCTGTCCTGGACTCACTTTGTAGACAAGGCTGGCCTTGAACTCACAGAGATCCGCCTGTCTCTGCCTCCTGAGTGCTGGGACTAAAGGTGTGTGCCACCACAACCAGCTGCAGCCAGTGCTCTTAACCACTAACCATCTCTCCTGGCTTGGTTTGATTTTGATTTTATTTATTTTTTATTTTTTGCGGCAGGGTCTCCCTGTGTAGCCCTGTCTCCCCTGTGAGATCTGCCTGCCTCTGCGTGCTGAGCGCCACCATGCTGTATTTTGTATTCTTAGGACAAGGTCTTACTCTGCAGCTCAGGCTGGCCTCAAACCGAGGGCAATCCTTTTACCTCCACATCTCAAGTTCTGGGATTACGGGCATGAGCCACTGACACCTGACTTGGTTTTCCCAGTATAGTTTTTTGTTTGTTTGTTTGTTTGGTTGGTTGTTTTAGTTTCCTTTTTGTTTTTCTCTGTGTAGCTCTGTGTGTCCTGGAACTTGCTCTGTAGACCAACCTGGTCTCAAACTCAGAGATCCCCCTGCCTCTGCCTCCTGAGTGCTGGGGCTAAAGGTGTGTGCCGCCACTGTCCACCATTCTGATATGGTTTTGATAGGCTCATTTAAAAAATGGTTTTTTTAAGATTTACTTATGTTATTTGTATGTGTTTTGTCTGCACTTATATATGTATACCCCATGCATGCCCAGTACTACTGCCCAAGAAGGCCAGAAGAGGGCGCAAGATTCTCCAGGACTGGAGTTACAGATGCTTGAGCTGCCATGTGGGTGACAGAAAAGGCTCAGCTCCTCTGCAGGAGCAACAAATGCTCTTAACTACTGACTCTAGAGCACTGGGTGACACACGCCTTTAATCCCAGCACTCAGGGGGGCAGAGGCAGGTGGATCCCCTCGAGGTTGAGGCCAGCCTGATCTACAGAGTGAGTTCCAGGACAGTCAGGACTGCATAGAGAAACCCTGTCTCAAAAAAACCAACAAAACAAAACAAAAACCGAAATCCTCTTAACCACTGAGCTGTCATCTTTCCAGTGCCCTCATTGTGGGTTTTTTTTCTTGTTATTTTTTGCTTGTATGATGTTTGTCCTTTGGGGTTGTTGTTAGCCATTGTCTCATGTAGCCCAAGCTGACTTTGCACTTGAATGACCAAGAATGACCTTGACCGATAATGCTCCTGCCTCTACCTACTGAGTCCTGGAATGACAGGGTTGTAGTAGACCACACCCAGTTTTATGACGCATTGGGTAGGGATGGAACCCAGGGCTCTCTGAAGGCTAGGCAAAGGACTCTGCTGAGCTGTGTCCCCTGCCCTATACAGACTCTATGTCCGTGTGCTCTGGTTTCATCTGTTGGAGATGTTTAGTCTATCCATTATTTACCAGCCTGGGCCTCGCTGTTCATGCCACACAGTGTGTAGAGTCAGTCTGCCTCAGTATTTTCGTTTCAAATGCAGCCAACTTCGGTTTTTGAAAATGATTCACTCAGCGCAAGGCCCAGCAGGGAAGCTGAACAATAAATGAATGACTCAGCATGCCTGATCCTTCTGCTTTCTGAAACAAGTCTTGGCCCATTTCCCAGAGAGGCAGACTGAGGCTCAAAGGACTGAGTGACCTGTTCCAAGTCAGCCAAGGAACAGAGCTTTAAAATCCAGGCCTGTCAAACCTCAGAGCCTTCTCAACTGATAACTCACCTAACACACCCCAGCAAGGCTGGCCTCCCTGGATCTGGAAGGCTGGTCAGCTCAGCGACAGACCCCGAGGAGCCACCCGGCCAGGACAGAGGTGGCAAGCATTGCAGGCTGCACAGCGTCTGAGGGGGAGCCTGTGGACAGCAGGGTGCCAGATCAGCCAACCTGGACAGCAGCAGCAGCACCAGAGGAGGCCAGTGGAGGTCAGGAGTATCGAGGAGGCCAGAGCCACCCACCAGAGCCAGGGACCTGCTGGAGGAATGAGAGCCCAGTCAGATGTCCCATCATCACCGAGACTGGATGTGTGTGTGTGTGTGCGCGCTCACGTTAGCACATGTGTGCCACGGCAAATATGTGGAGGTCAGGGGGAAACTTTATGGAATCTTCTCACTCTTTCTATCTTTACAGGGGTTTACCTCAGCCTGTCAGGCTTACTCAGCAGGACCTTCACCTGCTAAGCTTTCTTGTCAGCCTTCCCATCTTATTGTTTGCTGATTTGGCTATTTGACATGTGTCTGTGTGGTGTGTGCGTATATGTGGGTTGTTTGTTTGTATTTCGAGACAGGGTTTCTCTGTGTAGCCCTGGCCATCCTGGAACTCACTCTGTAGACCAGGCTGACCTTGGCTCATGGAGGTCTGCCTTCCTCTGCTTCCCGAGTGCTGGGATCAAAGGTGTGCGCCGCCGCCACCAAGGTTGCTTGTGTTTTTATACATGGTCCCGTGTGTAGGTGTACCTGTGTGCATTGGCTGTGGAAGCCCAAGGCTGACATTATTAAACCTTTTTTAAATTTTTTTTTTTTTTAAGATTTATTTTACTTTAAGCAGGCTCGGTGGTGTGTGCCTTTAATCCCAGCACTCAGGAGGCAGAGGCAGGTGGCTCTCTACTGGTCTACAAAGCCAGTTCAGGACAGCCAGGGCTGTTACACAGAGGAACCCTGTCTCGAAGAACTGGGAAAAGAAAAAAAAAAGGATTTCTTTTACTTCAAATTATATGTATGTTTGTGGGCGTGTGGATGTGACTGCAGGTGTCCTCGGAAGCCACGGGCATCAGGTACCCCCAGAGCTGGAGTTACAGGCAGCAACGAGCTGCCTAACTTGGGGGCTGTCAACCAAACTCAGGTCCTCTGCAAAAGTTCTCCGCGCAACCTGCGAGCTATTTCTCCAGCCTTGCAAGCTCTCTTCCTTGCCACCTAATCTTCTGAGACAACATCTCTCTCACTGAACCCGAGGCTTGTCAGGGCTAACTGGCTTCCCCAGGGCTGGGGTTACAGGTTCACCCCACCGAGCCTGGCTTTTTACACAGGTGGTGATATCCAAACTCAAAACTCAGCAAGCGTTTTTCTCACCGAGCCCTGGTGTGAGTTTGGTAGAAGAATGTAAGGGGTTTGTCACCAAGTGCTGGGCTACCTTCTAATGCTTCTTGTGTGATGGGGGCCAGGTTGGCTGGAGAGTTCCGCTCAGCTTTGGAGCTGAGAGCCACAAGGCCAGTCAGAGGCTTGAAACTCTCGTCTTCCGTCCTCCAGGTCTGCTTGGGTACCACAGAGGGACCTGTGAATAGTAACAACACACTGAGAGCCAGGGGCCGCTGCCGTGTCGCTGCTCTCGAGGCTTTTCTGAGATCGTCACTACTAGAATAAGGGAAATGAGGGACAAAGAGTCCCTAAACATCTGGCCAAGGTCACACAGGAAGCGAAATCTGGTCTCCTATCAAGCAGAGCTGCTTTTCTCTCTTTTTTCTTTTTCTTTCTTTTTTTCTGTTTTTTCCAAGACAGGGTTTCCCTGTGTAGCCTTGGCTGTCCTGGACTCACTTTGTAGACCAGGCTGGCCTTGAATTCACAGTGATCCATCTGCCTCTGCCTTTCTGAGTACTGGGATCACAGGCGTGCACCAGTGTGCCCGGCTGGAGCTGCCTCTCAAGACATGGCATAGAGCAGTCTGGGGTGAGCAGCTTCTCAGCAGCAACCTTGTGCTCTGTGGGGAACACTTAACTGATAGCATGTGCATGTGAGGGGTGTGCAGGGTCAGGCGTAATGACCCCTCTCCCCCCACGGATGAGGAAACCAAGGCATCAGGAAGTTTGCTGCTCTAATCAGCTTACTATCGTTTCTCGAGCACCTGCCACAGCCCAGAGGTCACTGTAGGGACTGGAAATAATGACAGGCCCTGTGAGGTCTCACATCCTTGGTCTGACCACTACCATGACCACACCCCCTCCTGCCCCATGCCACCTCTCCACCCAAGCCCCGCCACCCGGAAGATGGACAGTAAGGCCAGCAGCCTTTCCCACTTTGCTGTTCGGTGGGGGGTCCAAGCAACCTCTATCACTGACCCCTGCAGCTGGCTGGGGGATTGGAGTCCTGGTCACTGCCGTCACCACAGTTGTCCATGTCCCAGTCATCACACAGCAGACTCCGAGGCACACACCTGCCGTTCCGACAGCGGAAGTAGGTGCCACAGGACCCTGGGGTAGAAAAGGGAAGCTGGGAGTAAGCATCCTAGACCAGACCCTACAACTGTGCGTTTCCTCGGTAAGAGAACTGGGGTGCAGGACAAGGCTGCTGTCCGTGGTGGATGGTGGATGGTGGATGGGTATTTCCTGAAATGGTAACAGTACAATCGAAATGGTAATGAACACGGTGACAACCGGTGGTGGTGGTGGTGGTGATGGTGGTGCTGTTATGGTAGCTAGCACCTACTGAATTCATAAAGTAGGTAGCCCAGGATCTCCTTGAACTTGCTATACATGCCTGTAATCCCAGCGCTGGGGAGGCAGAGGCAGGCAGATGCCTGTGGGTTCAAGGTCAGCCTGCTCTACAATGAGTCCAGGACAACCAAGGCTACACAGAGAAACCCTGTCTCAAAAAACAAAACAAAACAAAACAAAACCCAAAACTAAAAAAACAAAAACAAAACAAAAAACCAACCCTCAAACAGTGACAACAACGAAGACAGGGCTAGCAGGAGGCAGGATTGTAAATGAAGCTTTCTGGTTCCCCAATCCTGTCCCTGTCACCACTGTTTCCCAACTGGGACCCCATTCCCTCTTCCTCTCCTTTGAGCAACATGCTCTATCTCTCCTCACCTGATCCTAGCCATCAGCCCCAACCTACCCAGACGGAAAGAGGTGACCTCGCCCAAAAAGTCCACGCGGGGTTGGCGGCCCCTGGTGACCAAGCGCAGGCCAAGCCAGGGTCCTGAAGACATGAAGGGTGCAGGGATGGTCAGGCCGCAGGTCGGGGGTCCCAGGGCCTGGGGCGCCCCCTGCGGGCCGTCGTAGAACTGCAGATAGGAACCCGATGCGCACGGGTCGGGAGAGGAAGCGGAGGGGACCAGGGTGGCGCCGGCGGCTCTGGCGGCTGCGGTGGTCCGGATGGCGGAGGACAGGCTGTAAACCAGGAAGAAGCGGAACTGGAAGCGCATCCTGTCTTCGGGGGCCTTGGCACGCAGCCACAGCATGCAGTCAGTGTCCGGAGTCACGAAGTAGAACTTTCTGGAAGCCGAGTGAGAGCGCAGCTGCAGCGCGTCCCCCTGCCACGTCTGTCCGCACAGGTCTGTCAGGTCCGCTGGAAGGAGAGTACAGCGGTCGTGCATGTGGAGTCACCTAGCTGTCCCAAGCCCGCCCTCGCTGCGTGATCCCATCAAATCACTCATGGGCAAAATAGGGATGGTCTTGTGAGCACTTTATGACATAATTGAAAGTCACAACTCCTTATGCGAAACCTCTGGGTCGTGGCATTTACCTGTAAAACCAACACTCTAGAGGACAGAAAGAATCATGGTGGATTAAGGCTAGCCTGGATTACAAAATCAGGCTGTCTCAAAAAAAGAAAGAAAACTACCGGGACCCGGTGGCACATGCCTGTGATTCCAGCACCCAGGGAGGCAGAGGCAGGCTGATTGCTGTGAGTTCGAGGCCAGCCTGGTTTACTAAGCAAGTCCAGGACAGCTAAAGTTACACAGAGAAACCCTGACTTGAAAAAAAACAAAACAAAACAAAACAAAAAAACAAAAAAAAAAAAAAAAAGAAAAACAAAAACAAGCAAAACAAATTATAATAATCAGGTCTGTCTGGCGATGCATGCGTTTAATCCCTGCATCCAGGAGTCAGAGGCAGGTGGATCTCTGTGACTTCAAGGCCAGCCTTGGTCTAAATAGTGAATTTCAGGACAGCCAGGGTACATAGTAAGTCTCTGTCTCAGAGAGAGAGAAACAGAGAGACAGAGAGGGGGGTGGGAAGGACAGAGACAGAGAAGTAGACAAAGATAGACAGGGACAGAGAGAGAATGTAAATAAGGTTTCCAGGTGGTGCACACCTCTGACCCCAACACTTGGGAGGTGGAGGCAGGAGGATCGGGAATTTAAGGCAGCTCTTAGCTACACAGCAAGTTCAAGGCCAGCTGAGATACATGAGACTTTTAATTGAGACTTATCTCAATTAAAAGGGGGGAGGAATGTTGTGCACACAGCACATTCCCGAGGCGGGCGCAAAGTCCGAAGACCTCTCGAAGATCAGATGCTACCCCAAGGGCTACTGTGTCCACTGCAGGAAGGACAAGCAGAAAACAGTCAACAGGGCAGAGGTAGCTGGCGGTAGAACAAATGCCTTCCTGTCTTGTGGTCAAGATAAAAAACAAATGTTACTTTTCCAAGTATTTTGTAAGTTGGGATTGCAATTAAAAAACAAAAGAAACAACAACAACAATAAAAACTCCTGGCCATCTAGGAACACTGCTCAGAATGTAATGATTTACTGGAGTGTCAGCTGCCTCTTCTGTGAGGGTGGGGTGGATACATTTGGGTGTCTGTCCACCTACCTTCCGTTTCCTATTTCTCCTTGCTAAAGAAGATCCCATTTCCATCCCTGGGCTTTTGGGATTGGTGTATGACCTAGTTCTGACCTATGAAACTTAAGGAGAGGTCTGCTGGGAGTTTCTGGGGAATAGTTTTCCTCCCTAATTAAAAAAAAAAAGTCTTTGGTGGTAGAATAGGCCTTTAATCCCAGCTTGAGGAGGACTGAGGTGGGTGGCTCTCTAAGAGTTTGAGACCAGCCTGGTCTACAGGACAGCCAGGACTGCACAGGGGAGCCCTGTCTCAAAAACAACAAGCAAACAAACAAACAAACAAAAAAGCAAAAGACCAAAACAAAAAGCACTGTGGCACACACATTTAATTCCCACATCCAACACTCAGGAGCCAGAGGCAGGAGGGCCTCCCAAAGTTTGAGACCGTCTAGACTACATATTAATACCTTACTCAATATGAAAAAAAAAAAAACCCAGCAAATAATAAGATCTGTGCAGTAGATAGTTATGAGAAGTGGAGAGATGGCTTAGCAGTTGAGGCAGCTCTTCCAGAGGACCCTGATTAGATTCCTGGCCCCCACATGGCAGCTCACAACCAGGGGAATCTGATACCCTCACACAGACAAACATGCAGGAACATTTTCTTTAAAAAAAAAAAAAAAAAGATGGCGATGATGATGACAATCAAGTAGGAGGAGCTGGGTGCTGCAGTCCTGTAAGGCCAGCAAGGAGGATTAAAAGCACAAGGCCTGTCTGAGCTATGATGTGTTCAAGGGCAGCCTGGATAATTTAGTGGAACTCTGCCTTAAAGACTGAAAACAGCAGGCTGGGGTTGAGGCCCAGAGGTAGAGTGCGTAATTAACCATTTGAGGTCCTAGGTTCAAGATCCAGTATTGTTAAAAAAATAAATAAAAAAAAAAATAAGAGATGGAGTGATGTGAGATGAGAAGTCTTTTTCCTTCCAGTTTCTAAAAGCTGTTGACTGAGAAAGTGATGTCTTGGGCCACAGCAGCCCTCTTGCAAGGATGGGGTTTTGACATGACTTGGCGCTGAAGTAACCATCCCTGGAATCACTTATGGCTATTCTTATGGAAAAATAAATAAATAAAGTCTACTGAGTTTACAAACACTGTTTTGTTTGGTATCTGTTCCATTTTCTTTGTTTGTTTTGAGACAGAAATTCACATAGCTCGGGCTGGCCCCAAATTTGCAGAGATCCCCTGCCTCAGAGTCCTGAGGGATGAGGGGTCATGTGCCACTATTCCCCGACTCTAGAATTTTTTAATGTGGTTTTGGGAATGGCTCCTAGGACCTTATACATCTTAAGCACGTGTTCTGACACTGAGCTGCACCCCTGGTCCCTTGACTTCAGGAGACATAGCAGAGTGGAAGTAATGCTGTCGGGGTAGAATGCCAGAATGCCCAATCTAAGTTGCCTCACCTCCAGCCCCAGATGAAAGGGGCTACCCTGCCCACCACAGATCCCTGCGTTGGGTCACTTGGAGCCTCCAGTCTTCTAGAAGGGGTTGGAATAGAACGGAGGATACTAAGGAAGGCCCAGCCACCCTTTCCAAGAATCTGCCGCAGAGATTGAGTGCTGCCTGGGTACAAGGGTCTCAGGGTTGCCCCAGGGTTGCCCCTTCCAGGCTCTTCCTACTCACCTGTCCCAATGGCAGACACAGCCAAGGCAGTTGTCCCCAGCAGGAGCAGCCTTTGGGGCAGCTGCCAAAGGAAAGCCATTCTGGATCTGTGCCCAGCAGGGAGCAGACCTGCGCAATCTCCTTTGGGGCCTCTGGGGAGACTGGGGTGCAGACCCTGACTGCTCCAGGAAGTGAACGGGGCACAAGGAGCAAGGAGGCTCCTCGGGTCTTCCTCACTGTGTTTTGAGGGTTTCCTCCTTTGGATCAGAATTGTGTCTAAGGGTTGCCATAGAGATTTGGGGCCCCAAGCTGGAGAAGACAAGGATGTCTGCTCACCCACTGGTGGACAGGAACCAGGACTCAAATCCGGCTTAGCTGTCGGGCTTTGAGAAGGGGGGCCTCCAACTTCCATGAACCATTGTCTTCCTAGAGAGGTGGGGGGGGGAGAACAGCTTGAGGGAGGCCCAGGACACCAAAGGAATCTTTCTGGTAGCCTAGAGAAGCTACACAGATGGCACCAAGAGTCGCTTTAATTCAAAACCAAGTGCCTTGGGGCCTCTGCATTCCTATCCACAGCATGCACACCCATAGCTCTTCGTCCATGACTGGCTTTGTTAGGGCATTAGGTCATGGCTCACATTTTGCCTCCTCAGACTACTCTTCCCGAACCACACCTAAGCCTGAAGGACCTCCCAGCCAAATATTCAATCACATCTCTCTGAATTTATCTTCTCAGCACTATCTATCTATCTATCTATCTATCTATCTATCTATCTATCTATCTATCATTTATTATTTACCTATCTATCTGTGTATGTGTCTTCAGACAGCCTGAGGTAATCTAAGTTGGCCTCAAACTTGATATAATGTAGCCAAGAATGAACTTGAACTCCTGACCCTTGTGTTCCTGCCTCTCAAGTGCAAGGATTATAACTGTGTGTGAGGACAGTCACTCATCCTAGGAACAACTGGGTATTGCTAAAAGGTGCGGACAGAGGCCTGGTGTGGTGGTGCACACCTTTAATCCCGGCACTCCGAAGACTGAGGCAGGCGGATCTCTGTGAGTTCCAGAACAGCCTGGTCTACAAAGTGAGTTCAGGACAAGGCTACACAGAGAAACCCTGTCTGGAAACAAAACAAAACAAAACAACAAAAAGAAAAAGAAAAAAAGGTGCTGAGAATTAAAGGGAAATGACAGCAATATGAACAATCATGACAACCCAGAAATGTCCCCAGCTTTCATGCCTGGGGACAACCTTTCCTAGTAACTCCCTGCCTCTGTCACTTGCTGAGAATGCACAAGCTAAGAATTTCTTGTAACACCCAGCTGCATCACATCCCACTTGAGTGATGAGTCCATGTCACCTGCTGTGTCATGCACACGTATCAGCATGAGCTCACAGAGCAGGTACACACACTTACGCGCTTCCTTTAGATGATAAGTTTAGCATTGGAGAGATGGTTCGGAAGACTCCAAATGCACAACCCGACAATCTTGTAGGGTGCCTCACACCTGTCTGTGGCTCTGGCTCTAGGACACTTGACAGCCTCTTCTGGCCTGAAGAACATCTACACTCACGTGTGCATGAGTGCCCCCCGATACATAATTAGTCTAAGTAAATAAATGGTGAGAAATTAGAGGTCAGATAATGATGCGCAATGTTCGTAACGCGTTGGTTGGAGTAACACTCGGGCCACATTTCCTAACTGCATCAACCTTGCACAGTGGGCTTAACTTTTCTCATGTACAAAACGGGACAATCCTAAAATAGCTTATCATACTGTTGGGAAATTTCCTGTTACCTTAACAATGCAAATTCAGTTTTCAAGCCTGACATGGTGGCCCACACCTTTGATCCCAGCACTTGGGAGGGAGAGGCAGGTCTCTGCCTCTGAGTTTGAGGCCAGTCTTGTCTACAAAGAAAGTTCTAGGACAGCCAGGAGCTACACAGAGAAACTCAGTCTTGAAAAACAAAAACAAACAAAACCAGTTTTCAAAGATCATAAACCTCCACTTGTGGAGAAAATTCAGGAAATCAAATAGCTAATTTATTTTGTGATAAGTAGTAAGGTTAAAAAAAAAGACTATATTGATTCAACAGACATGACGTCATTGCCGAAGGGCATTGACATTTTGTCAGGACAGCCAGGGAAGGCAAAGACCTGAAAAATGTGAGGGGGATGTTTCGGTATGGTGGTTTAGTGGGGAGAGGTACTAGAAAAACAAGCCTGGCAAGCTGCTTTGAGCCCCGATATCCCCAGTAAGACAGTTTGGTGCACATCTGTATTTTCAGCCTTCCTATGGTGACACGAGAGATGGGGACAGCGGAACCACTCAGAAGCTTATGGACTGGTAATTTCTTGAAGTCCACTGTTTCAATAGTCTGATAGGCAAAGAGAGGTGTCACAGCTGTCCCTTTAGAATGTATTCATTTCTAGCACAGGGGAGATGGAAATGGGCAGATCTCTGTTAGTCTAAGAACAGCCTGTCTACATAGCCAATTCTAGGCCAGTCAGGGATAGCTGCACAATGAGAAACACATACTCCATACATACATATATCCATATGCATACACACATATAATTCACATATACACATATGTGTTGTATGTATGCATTGTGTGTATATGTGTGTGCAAGTCAGGCTGGTTAAAATCTCAGAAAGATAGGCAGGAGGGTTGTCTCGAGTCTGAGGCATGCTTGAACTACATACTATGTATCAGGAGAGCCAGTGAGAGCAAGAGACCTAAGAAGGAGGAGGAGGAGGAGGAGGAGGAGGAGGAGGAGGAGGAGGAGGAGGAGAGAATCAAAAATAATGCCCTCTGCTGCTATGTGTGTCTCTGTCCCTGACCCCTAAATTACTAATGCCACATCTGAATTTGCTCTTAAAATGCAAGTCTCATGTGTCCCGTATCTAGAAATGGGTTTAGGGTGAAAGATCCCCGGAGGGTATCTTCCGTCTGAGAGAGACCCCCTCCCAAGGAACAACGAGGCCATTCGGATGCAAACAGCAAGAAGCTTTTATTTTGATACACGGGTACCCGGGGCGAAAAGTCATTCGAGAGACTTTCGCACCCCCTAGGTAGGAAGCTGGGGTTTTTATAGGGTTTTAGCGCAGAAGCACTGGTACAGAAGCGAGAAGCATGATTACAGGGGGCTGATTGGTACGTTTACATGAGACCACGATTTGCGTCAAAGTTTGGCAGGGGCACCAAGATTCCAGGAACTGGGTGGTCAAGGGGGTTATGATGACCCCTTGACGTGGCCCGACACCTGTTATTTTGTTTTTCTCTATCTTAACTGAAACAGTCTCACAGATATCTATGAGGGTGATTAACACAAACTGTTTTTAGTATGACTGGGGCAGCCTAACCGCAGATATCCCAAGTGGGTGACACAGCTAGGTTTCTCAGTAATTTTTTAGTTCCCCACCTAGCCTACAGAGTTTCTCATAGCTATGTTTAACTTAGGGTGAGGCAGGGGTCTTTCAAGGGTATCAAGAAAATGACCACAGGCTTTTAATCCCAGCACTTGGGAGGCAGAGGCAGACGGATCTCTGTGAGTCCAGCCAGCCAGAACTCTGTTAAACAGAGAAACCTTACCTCAAAATAAATAAATAAATAAATAAATAAATAAATAAATAACTAAATAAATAAATAAATAAATAGACAAACAAATAAATAAATAAAATCAATCCTAGCCATTAGGAAAATGCAAATCAAAATGACTCTGAGATTCCATCTTACACCCATCAGAATGGCTAAGATCAAAAACCTCAAGTGATAACACGTGCTGGAGAGGATGTGGAGAAAGGGGAAACATTGCTGGTGGGCAAACTTGTAAAACCACTTTGAAAATCAGTCTGGTGCGTTCTCAGAAAATTGGGAATAGCACTACCTCAAGACCCAGTTATACCATTCCTGGGCATATACCTGAAAGATGCTCTACCATTCAACAAGGATATTTGCTTGGCTATGTTCATAGCAGCTTTATTCATAACAGCCAGAATATGGAAACAACCTAGATGCCCCTTACCCAAGGAATGGATCCAGAAATTGTGGTACATTTACACAATGGAATACTACTCAGCAATTAAAAACAAGGAAATCATGAAATTAGCAGGCAAATGGATGGAACCAGAAAAGATCATCCTGAGTGAAGTAACCCAGACCCAGAAAGACACTCGTGGTATATACTTGCTTATAAGTGGCTATTAGCCATCTGATGTAGGATAACTATACTATAATCTATAGAAGCTAAACAACAAGGAGGACCCTAGGGAGGATGCTTAATTCTCATTCAGAATGGCAAACAGGTTAACGGTGGAAGAGAAGGAACAGGACCGTAGCCTACCATACATGTCTTCTGAAAGACTCTACCCAACAGGGGACTGAAGCAGATGCAGAGACTCACAGCCAAATTTTGGACAGAGTACAGGGAGTCTTATGGAAGAAGTGGGGGATAGAAGCACCCGGAGGGGACAAGAGCTCCACAAGGAGACCAACAAAGCCAAAAAAATTCTGGGCCCATGGGCCCCTGCAGAGACTGATGCATCAACCAAAGGCCATGCATGGAGAGGACCTAGACCCCATGCTCAGATGTAGCTCATAGGCTATAGTCTCCATGTGGGTTTCCTAGTAAGGGGAGCAGGTTCTTTCTCTGTCAATGAACTTGGTTGCCTGCTCTTAGATCACTTCCCCCTGGTAGTACAGTCTTGCCAGGCCGCAGAGGAAGAGGATCTAGGCAATCCTGATGAGACTTTATAGGTTAGGGTCAGATGGCAAGGGAGGAGGACTCCCCTTTCAGAGGACTAGGGAAGGGAGAAGGGAATGGGAAGAGGAAGGGAGAGAGGGACTGACTAGGAGGAGATGAGGAAGGGGCTACAATCAGGTTATAAAGTAAATAAATTGTAAAAAATAAAAAAGTTTTCAAAAAACAATAAATAAGTAAATAAATAAATGATGATGAGAAGAAGAAGAAGAAGAAGAAGAAGAAGAAGAAGAAGAAGAAGAAG